TGAGTTCGGTTCCCGGTACCAGAGAAAAACCAAAAAAAAAGGAAAGTGTGGTAACACTGTTATTTTTTAAATTTTGTTACAGATTTATAAGCAGCACTAGGAGAAAAGGACATGACTGTACTTATTAAGGGAGACTGAAAGAAGCAGTTCATTCTTGATAGCTCGGGTGAATAGATTTCATTTGTCATCAGTTTTTCCCCAAGTGCTGGGAGTGGAACTCAGGGGCTCATGCATGCTAGGCAGGTACTCTACAACTGAGCCATACTGGCCCATTTGTCAGCATACTTTAATACTCACCTTCACGTACAACTGAAGCAAAACATCTGTGCTACCATAGTGACTCCACCTCGACACCACCAGCATGAGCCAAAAGAACAGTTGGATGAGATTAAAACTCCTAACTACTGGTTATAGGGAAATTGTGCTTTAGTTGTATTTTTTTTAATTAATGGCTACAAAAAATAACATTAGTGTCTGTATACAATGAATAAATTGCTGATAACACTAAAATGAAATCCTGAAACTGCTACAAAATGTCTCTACGAAAATTCAGAAAATAAAGCCCTCTGTGTTTACTGGGGTGGGCAGCAGAAAAGCGGGTCTACAATGAGAAGACAACTTGAGTGCAAATCAATGATCTGTTAAGCAATTCCTCGACTACCACACTTAAATACCAAAACAAAGGTTCCAACACATATAGTCCCAACACCTCCTGAAAAGGGACAAGTACATCAGAGTCAACACAGTGGCTACAATACCAGCAGAAATGAATAGTTCCAGTATCTTAGTATTAATACCACTGTATTTTAGTACACTGTGTACATTTAGTACATTGTGACCAGTTCATTTTAGTATTAATACCACTACTAATACCTCTTATTAGTACTATTATTAATTAGCCTCCTATTGATACCATTATTTTCTCTTTCAAATGGTCACCACTATGATGCTGCTCCATCTGTAACAATGCAGGACTGGAAAATGGGCCTAGAAACTTCCATCTCCTCCTCAACTCCCAAACACCTCATCATACTCTGTTTTCCTAAAGTTCTCCTGTGCGCTCTTACACCCCAACTACCAACTCTATAAGGAGTCTTTTGGGAACTTCTAACAGTGGGTCTGGGAGCAAACAGGGTCATATCAAGTTAAAAACCTTCTGCATAGCAAAAGAAACAACCAACACAATGAAGAGACAACCTACAAGAGGGAGAAAAAATCCTGCCAGCTATTCCTCAGAGAAATGACTAGTATCTAGACTATACAAAGACCTCATAAAAATAAGAGCCCACAAAACAAAAGATGCAATCAAAAGATGGGCAACTGAAATGAATGGACATTTCTCAGAAGTAGATGACCAATAAATATATGAAAAAAATGTTCAATACTTTTGGCAAATTAAAAGAATACTGCCACACCATCTTACTCCAGAAAGGGTAAGTTTTATCAAGAAATGAAATAATAACAAGGACTTGGAGAACACGAGAGTACCAACACCGGACGACTCAGAGGTCGAGCTGACTGGGGACACGACAGCCATTCAGGAGCTGGAAACCTTGCACAATACCTGGGGAGACTGCCTGGAGGCCATTCTTCCCCTAACTGTACAGGCTGCAGTGGAGAAGCAAGTGGAGCTCCGGAAGTCTGCACCAAGACTTCATGGATTACATGGGTGCCCAATATTCAGATTCTGAAGAACCACCCTCATGGAGAAGGTATGTGTCTAGGTTACCTGCCTGGGACACTTCACACCTGATAATGCTGAGACTGACTAGCAGGCTGAGAACTTCGTCCACATGTTCCTGCCGCCTGTGTTAATGGTTGGGGAGAGGACACTAAGTGGTTGCGGGGTCCCAATGCGCTGGGAGACCAGAGAGAACACCCCTCTGCTTTCTTAGGGAAGAGGCACTGGTAAAGCATACTTCCCTGGATCCCAGGTCAGTAGAGGGACAAACTATTCTTAAAGGTAAGTTTATTACTCAGTGAGCCCCAAATAGTAGAAAAAAGATACAAAAAATGGCTTTTGCCCCAGATAGCTCACTTGAGATGTTAGTAAGAATTGCCTCCTCAGTATTTTATAGCCATGACGAGGAGGTGGTCAAGGAGAGAAAACAAAGAGACCAAGAAAAAACAGCTGCCTTTGTTGCAGCACTAAGAGAAACAGAGCCTAAGTATGATTCTCGGGGCCCCAAGAACTTGTCAACTACATTCATCTGCTATCACTGTCAAAAGCCAGGCCATCTCAAGAGGGACTGCCCTAAGAAGCCCCCTGGGCCATGCCCTGACTGTAAAGGTGACCACTAGAGGTCGGACTGTCCTCTGAAACAAAGGCCCCAGAGCTCAGACCCCTCCTACCAGCTGGTCCAACAGGAATGAAGGGGCCCAGGGCACACTCTGCCTTCTCCCTCTGGCCAGACCATTATCTCCAAGGAGGAGCCCTGCGTAATCATGACTATAGAGGAAAAAGTAAACAGCCTATTGCTGGACACTGGTGCTAGTCTCTCGGTCCTTCTTTTCAATCCTGGCCTTCCTTCTAGTGGTCACACCTCAGTGAAAGGAGCCACTGATGAGGAGGTAATCTGCTATTTTTCACAACCCTTAGGGTGTAACTACCTGTTAGATCTTTCTTGCATATCTGTTTTCCTGAGAAACCACTTTGAAGATACCAACATGTATTACAGCAGCCATTGATAATTTCCTACCAATCTGTCCATAACTCTGTAATGTTTCTATTGCTGCTATGCTATTTCGTAAATGGATGTATGTTTATTACTATGTGTTTTCAACAACCATTGAGAATAGTCAATGATTATTTGATTGATCACTCATGTATAGCGCTATTTGTTTTCCCTAGAAACCACTTTGAAGAAACCAAAGTACAGTACAACAATCATTGATAATTTCCTACCATTTTTGTCTGTAACTCACTATTATTTGTCTATTTGTTTTCCTGAGAAACTATCTTGAAGATACCAATAGGTAAAATAACAACCATTGATGATGTCCTACCACTTTGTCTGTAATTTGGTAAATCCCCTATTACTAAGTTATCCTTCTTTCACTCTTTAAAATAAAAAAAGAAAAGAAATAATAAGTACTCCTTGTGGGAACGTAAGTTGGTACAACCACTATGGAAATCAGTATGGAGATTCCTGAAAAAAACAGAAATTCCATTTGACCCAGCTATTCCCCTTGTAAGTGAGAGTTAAAGACATGATATTACATGATCCATGCACACCCATGTTTATAGCAGCACAATTCATAACAGCTAAATCTTGGAAGTAGCTTATATGTCCATCAACAGATGATGGATGAAGACAATATTTATATACAATGGAGTACTATTATGCCGTAAAGAAAGATAGACTTGAGTCATTGCAGGAAGATGGATGCACCTTGAGACCATAATGTTAAGTGAAATAAATCAGACACACAAGCTTAAATACCACAAAACACAAATAAGGAGCAAAATAAAAGATAGATAAAGGGAAGTAGGGAAATATATTTTATCCAAATGGGAAGGGAATCAAGAGATGGAGCAAAGAACAAGAGGAAGGAAAAGAGATTTAAAAAAAAAGAATTAACGTGTTATATGCATGTACCCATTCCTAAAAGTAATACAGTCAGTATGTAATGTAAACATGTACTAATAAAAACTGAAAAAATAAAATTGTTTTTATAAACTTATCAACCCATATACTTTACATATGTATACTGTAAAGCTATATCTCAATAAAATTGTAAAAATTAAAATTATAGACCTAAGACCAATCATAACAGAAGCTCCAATTGGTCCCACTAACCCTCCTCTTCTAAATTTCCCCAAGAATTATGATCACAGAACCCTGAAGACGCTGTGCCTGGATGGAGTGAATTTAACATGAAAAACAAACAGAACTACATTGTGCAAATGATTGACTGGTAGAGACGCCACTAAAATGCCCCATCTAAACCCTTCACATTGGGCCACTCCCCACTTTCCAGCTTCTCTGGGTGGTGGCCGCCAGCTGTTCATAGGGCCCTCCCTCCTAGAGCATATGCTCCTGGCTGGTGGAAGCCACGTTGGCCCCTGAGCATCTATGTGCTCCCCGCTCCTCTCAGTAGCCCACAGCCCTCTGCAGTCTGATAAAGAAGCATAAAAGACCAGTCCCTGCAACAAGGGAGAACAGCTCTGCAGTATGATTTATGCTCCAGAGCCATCCTTTATAAATTAGGCCAAGCAGACTTTGTCTGAGGCCATGGTCACTTCCCTACTCAGCGTCACTCAGTCCTTAATAGGCATTTCCTGAGAAGGCCTCCCTCTATCAACCCTGTTTACCCAAATTCCTGTCTTCAAGAAGCCACCTCTGTCTATCCTTGTTGGTTTATGTGTTCTTCTAAATGTTACCTTGGTCCATGTTCTTCCAGCTTGCGTATCTCCTGGGTTCATCTTTTATACAAATCCCATAGTCTGTCTGGAACCAGGTTCCTGCCTTTCCTTCCCAAGCAACTGTGACACTGACGGCGCTTCTCCATCCTTATTGTCTAACTTCCATCTACCATGAAGTTGTCAAGAACCGTTTTGTGAACTATCGTGAATCAATTCTTGATCTAGTCTCACTGCAACTGGTCTTCATTACTCCATGAATCCCTAGTAAGTATTTTCTTAATTAATTATCATAAGGTCCTAAAATACATGCTCAAATAATGTGTTGATAATAAAATTTATAATTTTGAGGACTATATTAACCAGATATGAAAATTTTAGTTAAAAGTTGAATTTTGCTTACCTTTCCTGGGTGATCCAGTTGACAACTAAATCTAGCCGTTTCTCAGACAGTCCACATTTGATTCCTTCCAAAGTTAGATATGCATCAATGGGATATCTAAAAGCACGACTTGTGCTAAATATAGCCTCAAAATATAAGAGCAATGGAAGAGGCTTTCCTCTTATTTTCCCAACAGCTACAAAAGAAAAGTTTTGAGTCAGATACCTTAAGAGATAGTTTGCTTTTTCTAATTTCAGATTAGTATTTTCATCTCTTTATATTTTCTACAGTTTTAAACATATGTATAGATTAAACTTCATGCCATGGATAAGTAGCTTTATGCATGCCATGTGAAGGTGGAGGTAGAGATTACTCTGTCTCTAAACCAAGAGATGCCAAAATTTGCTGATAGATCCTCAAAGCTAGGAGATCTCCTTGGGAGCCTCCAGGAGGAACCAAACCTGCTGACACCTTGATTTCAGACTTCTGGCTTCCTGAACTATGAAAACTTAAATTTATTTTCTAAGTCACAGGACTGTCCTATTAGTAGTGCAAATCTGCCACAATCAATGAAAAACTATGACTTGAATGGAGAAACAAAAGACACAGTTGCAAGTACACTAAGGATAAAATTGCTCAGGAAACTATGTTGCTCTATGACCTGTCAAATTAAACCAGTATAAAACTGGTGGCCAGAACGACTGTTTACTCAGACACCCTGTGCAGAACAGGCAGGTGCTGCTGCAAGTTACTCCGGGCTGCACAGACACAGAGCTTCCAGGCCATCTTTGCCCTCAGTGACCCCACTTTACAAAGCAGTTTGTGCCATGTTGAGTGCAAGTGCTGAGGGAGAATAACTTGGCAGTGTGTCTGTGCAACAAATGGCCACCAGACACTGGATACATCAAGCTCATTTAAAAACCCTAAAACAAGTGTGGTGGTGTGTTGGAGACCACTACAAAGTGGCTCTGAGCAGCATTTAATATTAACCAATTGGCTTTCTGTGTTTACTTGTGAGTTGTCTGAAGCTCAGGTACCATGTCTGGGGATGGGCAGTGGACTCATAGTAAATGAACCTCTAAGAGTCACTGATTGCCGCTGAGGCCTACATTGGCCTGTGAAGCTGTGATGCCTGAAAGGTCAAGATAAGGCCACAGCTGAGGACTTCTGGCTCCAGCCCCAATTGACTTAAAGGGGACTGTAGTTGCAGGCATCTGACTCCTGCTGTGAAGGCCTTCCTGGTGATAACTCAGTTCTTTTAAATTAACATAATGTATTACTTGGAAAAGTCCTGCCCAGATTCCCACATTTATTGAGTATCCCCCTCCTTTGTTTGAAAACTACATAAATACGGGCCACCCAGAGAAGTCTTTGTCCAAACTCAGAGAATATTGAGGCTGTAAGAGACTTAGTCCCTCCTAGAGCCCCAAAATCATTTCAATTGTCTCATTTATTTAAGCCTTCACTGTCCACTTGCTTGGGAGATTGGGGGCCTGATCAGCCCACAATAACTAAGGGTTATTTAACTAGATGGTGGCATACACCTGTAATCCAGCACTTGGAAGGCTAAGGCAGGAGGATCTCCATGAGTTCAAGACCAGCCTGTGCTACATAGTGAGACCGTGTCACAAAAAAAAAAAAGGAAAAAACCCTACCACAAAACAAAACACCTTCCACCTACATAGCACAATCATAAGGGATAAACTAATAAATTCATCACGATAATAAAAAAATACTACCTGTAAACTTATCAAATTAAATCAGGGGAACATGGACACATGACATATGAACTTATAGGACATACCAGAATCATATAAAAAGGGGACACACAACACAGGGGTAGGGCGGTGCCACATGCTGGCCTGTCATTTCATCAGACCACGTGCTGGACGCATTCTGAGGTCAACAGGTGAACAAATTCCAGTTCTCAAATTCCATTTCTTGGGCCTGCAGTTTCAGCTCCCCTTGCTCTCCCTTCAGGCTGCAGTGCACTCAGTGTCTGCTGTCCAGACTTGGGCTTTGAACCAACTCTGCGATTTCAACAAGCCCATACCTCAAACAAGCTCTGGTGTGTAAGTGTAATTGGCCACCTGTGGTGACTTTTCAGATCTCTGGGCTTTCTGCCTTTGCTTTTAGTTCTGCCTCTTGGAATCCTGCAGCTGCTGTTAAACTGTTCTTAGATGTTCTGCAACCTGTGTATTATTGTGCAAAGCATGATGTGTAACGTGAGTTCCACAGATATTAGCAACTAAGATTATAATAAAAGAACCTACGATTGCAGGGCATGGTGGCTCACACCTGTAATTCCAGCACTCAGGAGGCTCACAAAAGAGGATCCAATGGGAGTTCAAGGCCAGCCTGGGCTGCATAGTGAGTTCAAGGCCAGCCTGTAAGACCCTATGTCAAAAAACCAATCAATCAGTCAAACAAACTATGATTGACTGGCTCACAGGCCATAAAGTGAAATCTTGAGTACTCAGCCAGACAAGGCTGATAAAATTGATGTAGCTTACAAATATATTATTATTCAATAAAGTCTGTCATTGTGGAAAGACACAAATGTGTCCAATATATGTTAATGGCTAGATCACTCATGACACACTCTAACTTTGTTTTTTTGTTTTTTGTTTTTGTTTTTTTTCCAGTACCGGGAATCGAACTCACGACGTTGCACTTGCCAGGCAGGTGCTGTGCTGCTGAGCTAAATCCCCAGCCCGACACACTCTAACTCTGAAAATAATTCAGTAAGAACGACAAAATGGGATCTTGAAATTGATAGGTAGGGTTAGCCAATGATCAAAGAGGGTATCTCAAAAATTCAAAATGAATTGTAATCATGCTGATTATTTAGTTATATTAGCATGACTAAAAAATCAGCATGATTCTAACTAATTTTTAATTTAAACTGATATGTAAATTATGAATTTGAGTTGTTTCTTTTTTTTTAAACAGGGTCTCATTATGTAGTTCAGACTGGCCTTGAACTTGCTATGTAGCATAGGCCAGCCTCAAACTCACAGCAATCCTCCTACCTCAGCTTCCCAAGTGCTGGCATTATAGGCATGTGCCACCATGCCTGGCCTTAATTTGAGTTCTTAACCCATCAGATTATTTTTCTTTTGTGAACCAAAAATATCCTATTTCTCAGATTTTTATTTAACTTTCCTCTTCAGGGAAGATGTAACACTAATACTCTTCAAGTTCTGTGATGAAACTGAAAGGGATACAATACTCCCAAAATCATTCCTAAAAGCCAGCATTACTACTCAGATTCCAAAACCAGACAAAGATCAACCAAAAAAGAGAACCACAGGCCAGTATCTTTAATGAATACAGCTGCAAAAATTCTCAACAAGACACTGGCAAACAACATGCAATGAATCATTCAAAAGAATGAAATTGGACTCCTACACCTCATACCATATACAAAAACAAAGTAAATTATAGACCTAAATACATAAAACTCTTGGAAGAAAATGAAGGGGCAGATCCTTGTAACCTTATGTTAGACACAGATTTCCTAACTACAACACCAAAAGCATACTCATAAAAGATATGATTAGAATATTAGTCTGGTTTCCATTATTATTATTATAATAAAATACCCAAGGCTGGACATTTTATAAAGAAAAGAGGTTCACTTATAGCTCACAGGCTGGGGATATAGCTCAGTGGCATAAGCACCCATGTGGCAAATGTAAGGTCCTGAGTTTGATTCCTGGTACCAAAAAAAAATCTAAAAAAAAACCTTACAGCTCACATTTCTGGAGGTTCAAGGCATGGGTCCAGCTCAGTTATGATGATAACTTCCTGGTGGATGGCAGAAAATTATAAAGACAGGAATTCCCGTAAGAGGGAAGTATCACTAGGTAAGATGAGAAGGCAGACAGATGGAGAGAGGCCAGTCTGGTTCTTTAATATTAACCATTCATAAGAACAATGAACTCAGGGGCTGGGGATTTAGCTCAGCAGCACAGCGCCTGCTCGGCAAGCACAAGGTCTTGAGTTTGATCCCCGGTACCGGAAAAAAACAAAACAAACAAACAAACAAAAAAAAACAACGAACTCACTCTCTGAGATCAGCATCCATCCCTCCTGAGTGCTCCAGTAACCTAGGCCACTAGGTCTCACATCTAAAGGACCTCTCACCTCTTAATATTGCCATAGTAGTGACCAAACTTCTAACACATGAAATCTTGGGAATACTCTATCTAAACCAAGGCAATTAGTAAGTTGGACTTCATCAAAATTAAAAGCTTCTGACTTTAGAAAAGTCAAAAAGGCCAGGCGTGGTCGCACACATGTGAAATCCCAGCACTCGGGCGGCTGAGGCAGGAAGATCGCTGCAAATTTGAGGCCAGCCTGGGCTACATAGTGAGTACAAGGCTGGTCTGTACTACATAGCAAGACGCTGTCTCAAAAAAACCCAAACAAACAAAAGTCAAAAAGAAAAGAAAGTAAAGTAAAAAGACAATCTGTAGACTGGAAGAAAATATTTGCAACCCAACTAATAGGATTTTTTTTCACACAAGCTCTCACTAGTAGGCCCAGGACTTAAATTTAAGATCTTCCTGCATCAGTTTCCAAAGGTCTGTAATTATAGGCATATACTACCACACCCAGCAAATATAGAATTTTTACTTAGAACAAATAAAGAACTCTTGCAATTCAATAATAAAAACACAAACAACAAAATTTTTTTGGTACCAGGAATTGAACTCAGGACTTCACACTTGTCAGGCAGGTGCTTATGCCACGGAGCTATATCCCTGGCCATAATTTAAATACAAATAAAGAATAAACTTTTCTACAGATTGCCATAAATTCAAGGCTAGCCTGGTCTATATAAGGAGACCCTGTCTCAACAAAATAAAACAACAGACCATATTAAGTGTTGATACGGAGGCAAAAATGTTGGAACCTTTATACCTTTTGCTTTCTTTCTTTCTTTCTTTCTTTCTTTCTTTCTTTCTTTCTTTCTTTCTTTCTTCTTCCTCTTCCTCTTCTTCTTCTTCTTCTTCTCTATCTATCTCTATCTCTCTTTCTCTCCCACCTTTCTTCTTTCTTTCTTTCTTTCTTTCTTTCTTTCTTTCTTTCTTTCTTTCTTTCTTTCTTTCTTTCTTTCTGTTACTAGAGACTAGACCAGGACCTTTACACTAAGCTATATCTGCAGGAACCCCCTTTTAAAATTTTGAG